TGGGTAAATTCCTAGCAGTGCTATTGCTGGGTCTTAGGGGAGTTCTATTGTTCATTTTTTGAGCAACTTCTACACTGTTTTCCAAAGGGACTGCACCAGTTTACATTCCCACCAACAGTGTAGGAGAGCGCCCATTTATCCACACCTTTGTCAGCATCTATAGTCTCCTGATTTGTTAATTTCAGCCACTCTGATCAGCATGAGGTGGTATCTCAGTGTGGTTTTAATTTGTATTTCCTTGATGATGAGGGACACTGAGCATCATTTCATATGTCTGTTGGCCACCTGGATGTCCTCTTTGGAGAAGTGTCTGTTCATATCTTCTGCCCATTTCTTCACTGGATTATTTGCTTTTTCTGGTGTGGAGTTTGGTGAGTTCCTTATAGATTTTGGATACGAGCCCTTAATCTGATAGGTCATTTGCAACTATCTTTTCCCATTCCTTTGGTTGCCTATGAGTTTTACTGATTGTTTCCTTTGCCGTGCAGAAGCTTTTTATCTTGATGAGATCCCAATAGTGCATTTTTGCTCTTGATTCCCTTGCCTTTGGTGATGTGTCAAGTAAGAAATAGTTGTGATTGAGGTCAAGGAGGCTGTTGCCTGCTTTCTTCTCTAGGGTTTTGATGGTTTCCTGTCTTACATTCGGATCCTTTATCCATTTTGATTTTATTGTTGTGTATGGTGTGAAAAAATGACCTAGTTTCAATCTTCTGCATGTTGCTGTCCAGTTCTCCCAGGACCATCTGTTAAAGAGGCTGTCTTTTTTCCATTGGATACTCTTTCCTGCTTTGTCAAAGATTAGTTGGCTGTATACTTTTGGGTCCATCTCTAAGTTCTCAGTTCTATTCCATTGGTCTATGTGTCTGTGTTTGTGCCAATACCATACTGTCTTGATGATGACAGCTTTGTAGTAGAGGCTAAAGTCCGGGATGGTGCTACCTCCCGTTTTGGTTTTATTCTTCAGTATCACTTTGGCTATTCGGGGTCTTTTGTGGTTCCATACAAATTTGAGGATAGTTTGTTCTAGTTTTGAGAAGTATGCTGGTGCAATTTTGATTGGGATTGCATTGAATGTGTAGATTGCTTTGGGTAGTAATAACATTTTAACTATATTTATTCTTCCAATCCATGAGCATGGAATGTTTTTCCATTTCTTTGTGTCTTCTTCAATTTCCTTCATAAATTTTCTATAGTTTTCATCATACAGATCTCTTGTATCCTTGGTTAGGTTTATTCCTAGGTATTTTATGGTTCTTTGTAAAACATGTTTAAAACTATTAACAAAAAGCATTCACTTTCCATGTTAGACCTCCATGTTACACCATACATAATTTTGAAAGGCATATTTTAGGTTACCAGCCCACGGGCAGAACTGCTTGCTTGGTGGAAAAGGTATCAGATAGAATGACTGAAGGAACCAAAGGTGAGAAAATCAGAGTGAGCACAGGAACAGTGGTATGCACCATATCAGTTGAAGATGGGAGACCAAGTGAACATGACCTCTACCTCCAACAACCGCCCTTAAGAAGTAAGAAATGATCATTACTGGAGCACTTGGGTGGCTCTGTTGGTTAAGCGTCTGACTTCTGCACAAGTCATGCTCTCATGGCTCATGAGTTCAAGCCCCATGTTGGGCTCTGTGCTGAAAGCTCAGAGCCTGGAGCCTGCTTCCAATTCTGTGTCTCCCTCTCTTCCCTTCTCCCATTTGTACTCTGTCTCTCAAAAATAAATAAATATTTAAAAAATTAGAAATGATCATGATTGCTTTACATGAGGTACTAATAATGAATCTCTGTGAAAGCTCATGTGAGATGATATGCATACAGAGCTCACTCTGAAGACCTTTCCAAATCTAGAGTCTCGATGAGCTACAGATACTCACAGGAATTTATCACAACATTCATTTTCAATGTGACTTAAAGATTCCCAAAATCATACTCTTGATTTAATAATGCAGAAAATGAATAAATACTGGTTAAACTCATCTGAACAAGCTCACTATGCACTGTGGCATAAAGGAACATATATGCTTCAATTATTTTGCTACAGAATCAGGAACTGAGTTCTATCATTTTCCCCCTGATGTTTCCTATATTACATCTTTCTCCCTGCTGTTATTCAAAATAAATGCCAGATAGAACTCCACTTTATTTTTAAGTTCTGACTTCTTTTTCTTCTTGAGATTTTTCAGGGAGAATTTTGATCCCTTAAAATGGGAGACAAAATAATCTGTGGCAAGACATCAATGACTATGAATGTATTTAATGTGGCCTTGCTCCAATATTAACATTTTCACAAACCACAGTAGGCAGACCCTTACTGTTTTTTCATTATCCTTTCCAGCAGTGGCTGAGACCTAAATGATGCCACTTTACCAGAGAGGTATTCTGTACGTGTTTTCTACTTTAATCACATCCTTTCAACACCACGAATCTTCGTCTGACAAATTATCTTCTCCACAGGCAGGCAGCCACATCCAGACTTTGATGGGGTCCCAAAGCCTTCAGCATCGGAGCCGGGAGCAGCAGCCATATGAGGGAAATATAAACAAAGTGACCATCCAGCAATTTCAGTCACCATTGCCTATTCAGATCCCCTCTTCACAAGCCACCCGGGGACCTCAGCCTGGACGGTGCTTAATTCAAACTAAAGGGCAAAGGAGTATGGATGGATATCCAGAGCAGGTGAGAAGAGTTTTTATGACTGATGAGTTTGCAGGGAATGTTCAGGGCAATCCATTGAAGCCATGGTTTACCTTCTCTCATTTAGGTAGTCTGGGACAAATTAATGCTGTCACCATGTTGAATGGAGTACAGCACTCTGTGTAGGGGTTTTCTCATTATTTTCAGGGGTTAAACACTACAACACATAAAAATTGATCATTGGTAAAAAGCCCATTTCACATAAGGAAAAACTGATGAACTGGAAGTTTTTCTGGTTTATCCTACACCTTCTCCTACTCACTTTCAACTCCAATTTAGCTCTAACGCATGGCTTTTGAATATTACAGAGCTGTGGGGGATTAGGTGTATTTACCAAGGCCTCTGGTGAAACTGACAGTGTGAAAAGTGGGAACGTTTTTTAAAAATCCTATCTTCTGATTGTCAAATAAGACAAAGATAAAGTTTTGCTATGAAGAAAATGATAAAGAGTAATTTGAAAGGAAACATTTCTGAAATGTTCCAAAGACTACTGACAAATACCATGTAGCACAAAAATTGCTTCTCCTAGCTAAAATTAGGGTTTACTTTTCCATTACAGAGTCTGTTTTTCTTTCTTAGAACCAGAAAACTGAATCGGATCTTATCTACTGAACTGTATTACACTTAGAAAGCAAGACATTAAGATCTTAATACTCCCATAAAATTAATTTCTCTTATTTCGTTCTTCAGATAACTTGGCAAAGCTCCTACTGAATTCCCCCACTCCTTAATAAGGATTTCATTTTATTATTGCCTACGCTAAGCTTCACATGTTACGTTACCTTATTTTCTGAACATCTCAGACGTTACCTTCATTCTCCAGTTTTTTCTTTTACAATGTTAATAGCCATTCATCAGTTGGATCCCAGCTGCTCTAGACATTGCCTCTATTTCTTTATATCCTTCTTGAAGCTGAGATTATGTCTTAATCATTGTCAGAATCATTGGCTTTTTCTAAAGATAATTTTATTCCTATCCTGCCTTGGAATCACTGACCTATATAGGTCAAGTGTTGGATTTAAGGTAAATAAACCAGACAGGTGCCTTTAATCAGGTTATGACATGACGTTTTTAATTCTCCAGAGATTCTTCAATGTTGATAAAGTTTTAAATTATGCCTTACTTACTTATAGGCACCTAGAGATTAAAACTAGTTCATATTCCCTCTCCTACAAATAGCATAACCACAACACAATTCTCTGATTTAGTTATTTCTATTAGCAGCTACATTTTTTTGGCCTAGAATCAGTGTATTTAAAAATTCACTCTTTTACCTGCTTTGACTAGATTCAATGTTAGCATGCAGTTATTCTGAGCACTGTAAATTTAAAGGCCTTTTTTTTACCTTATTTCTTAAAAATACATAGATTATATAGTTTGACCAATGAAGAGATTTAACTAAATTCTACAGTTTACATACTAATTAAGCTTAAAACATCGTGGTTCTTTTAGAGAAGGTATTTGTAGTTGCTTGCAGATGGATCCACAGCTCCAATATCAGGTGCTTTTCAAACTGAGAGGTAAAAACTGAAACAGTCAATGGCTATGTTAAGGAAGGGACTTTAAATTCCTCTTGGCTTCCTAGTTTTTTCTGCATTGGTTTCAGCTTAAATGGTTTGGAATGCTGACATTAAAACTTTGGATTGACAATGAGAAGCCTAAGGAGCCTTTAAATAATGAGTTTCCAAACTATGTTCCCCATTCTCCTGAGCTATAAATCTGAAGACATTTTCTCAAAACTTTTTTTTCACAATTCACTGTAACATTGTCTGCTACCAGTGGTATGCTAGATTCATACTGACTCTTTACTGTGTGCATTTCTTCCCAACTCCATCTTCAGTGGTGTCACACCATAGGATGAAACTATGGGCATAATTATACCAGGGAAATTAACGAACACTACAAATCAGGCTATTCCTTACCCTCAGCCAGCTCGTAAACATTTTCCAGCACACCACCAATTATGACACTGTTTTCTTTCATCTTTTTTCCCCCTAAATTCTCCACCTCTTCATTCAACCCTATAACAGTCAGGTAAGCGAATACTAGGGGTGGGTCTCAGAATTTTGTGTTGAGTCTTATGCTAATACTTGTTAGTTGTGTGACCCTGGCCAAGCCATTAACCCTTTCTGAGGTTCTGTTTTCCTCCATATAAAATGAGAACATTACCACCCACAAACAACGTTCAAAAAATATTTGTAAGAGTCAAATCATGCAATTCTACACACACACACACACACACACACACACACACACACACACACACTAAGCCTGGCACTGAGAGTGTATAAATAGGAATGAGAAGAGGTAGAAATAAAACATTTTAAGAATTAAAATATTGGAGGGCACTTCAATGGACTGATATTAGTCCCAACCTCCCTAATCTACAAATAGAAAAGCAAATAAAGCAAAATAAAACCAAAGAGAGAGAGAGAGAGAGAGAGACAAAGAGACTGAAAAAGGTTACGTATATCACTCATAATGAGGATATTACATGTATTTTTTTTACTTTCCTGAGATATATTTCTTTTGAAAACTCAGACCTCTCCAGTGTGTGTGTGTGTGTGTGTGTGTACTTTAGAGACTTTTATCTAATATTTAGGAAGGGAAAAATAAAGAAAATATTTAAGATATTTTAAAGCTATATAGTTTCACATGAAAACTGTAGAGTAGTGATTGAGATGCAAAGATCAAGGAAGCAACTGAAAATTGCTAATGTGGGTTTCAGGCATATAAATCAAGACACCCTATTTTAAAGCATTTCTAAGCATTTAAGTCATTTCTAAGTGGTGCAATAAAAGAGCCATAAAGAGAAAAACAGAGTTTTCTTAAATGATCACAACAGTGCTAGTTTGGTCAAGTACAGATATCTCCCAGCTTACAATGGATTGACTTACGATTTTTCAACTTTATGACGGTGCAAAAGCAATACCCATTCAGTAAAAACTGTACTTCGAATTTTGAATTGTGATCTATTGCTGGGCTACCGATATACAGGACAGTACTGCCTCCTGATGCCAGACAGAGACAGTGAGCCGCAGCTCCCAATCAGCCACAGCATCACGAGGGTAAACACCTACTTATAACCATCCTGTACCTGTGCAGCTGTTCGGTTTCCCATTTTTAGTACAGGACTCAACAAATGTCATGAGATATTCAATACTTTATTATAAAATAGGCTTTGTATTAAATGATTTTGCCTAGCAGTAGGCTTGTGGAAGTGTTCTGAGCACATATAAAGTATGTAGGCCAGGCTAAGCTATGATGTTCAGTAGTTTAGGTGTATTAAATGCATTTTATGACGTATAATATTTCCAACTTATCATGGATTCATTTGGATATAATCCCCTTGTAAGTCAAGGAAGATCTGTACAATATGGTAAAAAACTAAATCATTCATATTTTTAAGTGCAAGGAAATGTTAGAAACATAGTATAGAGAGACTACACAGCATGATGAAGCACAATAAGTTCTATTAAAGTTTGGAGATTTTACATTTTAAAAAAGTAATTATTTTAAAAAATAAAAATAAAAAAGGGGGGTACATCTGGGTGGCTCAATTGGTTGAGCATTCAGCTCTTGATATCGGATCAGGTCATGATCCCAAGGTTGTGGAACAGAGGCTCCTCCTTGGGCTCCACACTGAGCATGGAGCCTGCTTAAGATTCTCTCTCTCTCTTTGGGTGTTTGGGTGGCTCAGTTGGTTAAGCGTCTGACTTCGGCTCAGGTCATGATCTCACAGTTCGTGGGTTCGAGCCTCATCTCGGGCTCTGTGCTGACAGCTAGCTCAGAGCCTGGAGCCTGCTTCAGATTCTGTATCTCCCTCTCTCTCTGACTTTCCCCTACCCATGTTGTCTCTCTCCCTCTAATAAATAAAAACATTAAAAAATTAAAAAAAGAATAAAAGGATTCTATGTCTCTCTCTCTCCCTCCCCCTTTGCCCCTCTCCTTGCTCATGCTCTCTCTTTAAAAGGTAAAAATAAAAAAATTTTAATTACTTAAAATTAGTCACTTATTGCAATGCTTATTGTTGAAATTGTAACCACTTATTGCAATGCTATAGTTGAAAACAATACCCAATTACAATGAATGCACATTTTTTAATTTAGGGAAAAGAATTCTGAATAAAAATAGGTAAAGAAGTGACAACAGTTACCATACATTGAGTGTCTGCTATGCTATATATACTATATACAGTAGTCCCCACTTATTCATAGGGGATATATTCCAAAATGTACAGTGGATGCCTGAAACCATGGATAATATCGAGCCCTATATATGCTGTTTTTCCCATACATACAAATCTATGATAAAGTTTAATTCATAAATTGAGCATAGTAAGAGATTAGCAACAATGACTAATAATAAAATAGAACAATTATAACAATAAACTGTAATAAAAGTTATGTTAATGAGGCCTCTGTCTCCCTCAAAATACCTGGTATTGTACTCATTCTTCTCGTGATGATGTGAGATGATATAATGGTCACATGATGAGATGAAGTGAGGTGAATGATGTAGACATCGTGACATAGCGTTAGGCTACTATTGACCTGCTAAGGATTAGTCAGGAGTGTCATCTGTTTCCAGACCACAGTCAACTACCAGTAAATGAAACCATGAAAAGTAAAACTGCAGATAAGGAGGGACTACTGTATAGTATATATGCCGTATATAGTATGTATCTTTTTTTGATGTTTATTTATTTTTGAGGGAGAGAGAGAGAGAATGAGAATGAGCAGGGGAGGGGCAGAGAGAGAGGGATATGAAAGTTTCGAAGCAGGCTCTGCAGTGACAACAGAGAGCCCAATATGGGGCTCAGACTCACAAACCATGAGATCATGACGTGAGCTGAAGTCAGATGCTTAGCAGACTGAGCCACCAAGGAGCCCTATACTATGTCTTAAACACAGAGGGGCCTCAGGGGTATGTGACCAGAGCAGTTTCACCAAGTCTGGTACTTAGAAACACCTCACACTTGG